TATTCAAAATCTAGGCTTCATAGAGCCAAAAAATGAAGAGGGAGTCCATGGGGTTATACCTTTGAAGCTTCTTCTTCTTACTTGGATCTATTCTTCCTCTCAACCTAGCTAGCACCTCCTTCATCACCTAAGCTCCCCAAACAAACCATTCAAAGCTTAGACTAAAACCTCAGAAAAAGGATGAAGCTAGAATGAAGATAGAAGGTTAAGATTGAATGGAAAATGAAGATGAACTTACTATTGTTTTTCTCTCTTCTCTTGGTAGACAAAAATGTTGGGTGAGGCAAAGAAAAAGATCAGGAGACAACAATGGAATATTGAGGCTTTTATAAGGTCCAAAACCCTAGGTAGATCACCAATGATTGATTGAGGGCAAAGTGGTAATTTCCATAGGCTAGAAAATGAATCAGGAAAGGAATTTTGGATGTCTAGTGGTCCACCATGCTCCATGGACCAAGGGCTAGAATTGTTATTTTAAAATACTTTGGGTTTGAAAAGGAATTTTCTCAAAAGTTTTCTAGATGAACACTTGTTTAAGGCTTCTCAGAATTCTCCAGGTCTCACTCAGATTGGTTTCTCAATTTAAAACTTGGTATGCAAGGTACCCGAAAATTTAAGATTTTGGATTAAAAATAAGTTTTGGTATTGAATTAATTTAAAATGTGTTCAAAATAATTTATTCAAACACCAATTGATTGCAAAATTTTTTAATGGAGTGAAAATGACTATTTTGGAATTTCTTAAAATTGGATTTATAAAATAAAATTTTGGGTTGTTACAGGGTGTTTGGCTAAAGAATTTTATCTCTGGGCTTAGAATTATGGATTCTATATCTAAGCCTTTGAAAGTCTACTGTGACAACTCAGCTGCAGTCTTCCAACTAAGAACCACAAAAGTGTGAGTCGAATTAAGCACATCGACATCAAGTTCTTAGCAATTAGGGAGTGTGTCAAAAATAAAGTTGTATTCATTGAACACATTAGTACTGAGTTGATGTTAGCAGATCCCTAGACTAAAGACATGCCTCCATTTAAATTTAATGATCTGGTTCAGAAAATCGGACTTTCGCCCAATTTGTAATTTGTATATATACATTCAGTTTCAATAAAATTCTTTGGCATTCAGGCATTTTCTCAATTAAGTGTATACACCTTCATTTGCTTTATATTGCTAAGAAAATGTACTTCAGTTGGACTTAGAATAAACACAGGATTTGTTTCATTAGGTTTTGTTTCATAATTAAGTGCTCAATGGCAGTTTGCATTTGATCATAACGGATACTACTCGCGCTAATGAGAACATATCATTATGGTTGGTGTTTTTCTGTTATTGAGTGGTAGTGCTTACACCAAGTGGGAGAATGTAACGTTTTCCCTTATTACTATTATTATAACATTAGGATAAGTTATGATAATATTAAGTATTTGATATGTGGTGCAACACTAATAACCTAATGGCTAGACTACCATTATGATTAGGAGTCTAGTTAGAGTTTAGGAGAGCTAAAGACATAGAACCACAATGATGGCCAATGGTTATATAAGGTCACTAGTCCTCTCAGTGCTCACACTACATACCTCATACACTATCTAAAGAGAGCTGAGTAAAGTGAGAGACAAAATACTCGTGTTATCTCTGCAGCAGCCCGGATCGTTCAACCATCATCATCACAAGAACTAATAGCTGGAGGTTAGTACGATCATGTGTCACATATTATGATGCATGTGATATATTTTAGTCTAATAGTTGGTATTAGTTGCTTGTATAATCTCTGCCTGGTTCTTTTTAATTGCATATACTATTTGCATATGTTATATTCATATTTGTATAATTGATATTACATATGTGAATGTTTTTGAGTCTGCATTTATATTGTCTGGGTTGCTGGAATATTAAGTTTTTATTCTGCATTAAGAAAAAAAAAAATCTTCATTCGGTTTTGTTGAAAATTCCTAAGATAACTATATATACCAGAAGGTGAGTGGGAGTAAAATTTGCTTTCTTGTTTTATATGTGGATGACATCTTAATTACTTGCCACAAATGATAAGGGAATGCTTCGTGATGTGAAACAATTTCTTTCTAAGAACTTTGATATGAAGGATATGGGTGATGCTTCTTATGTTATTGGCATTAAAATTCATAGAGATAGGTCCCGGGGTATACTAGGTTTATCTCAAGAAACGTCTATAAATAAAGTTTTAGAGAGATTTCATATGCAAAATTGTTCACCAAACACTGCTCCCATAGCTAAGGGAGATAAATTCAGTTTGGACCAATGTCCGAAAAATGATTTAGAGAAAGAATCCATGGAGAACATCCCTTATGCTGCAGCAGTTGGATGTCTTGGATATATTCAAGTCTGTACGAGGCCGGATATTGCTTTTGCGGTTGGAATGCTAGGGCGTTACCCACACAATCCGGGGTTAGACCATTGGAGAGCTGTAAATAGCATTCTAAGGTATCTAAAATGAACCAAAGATTACAAGCTTGGGTTTAGGAAAACGGACAATTTAGATGTTGTCGGTTATTCAGACGCGGACTTCACTGGCTGTGTTGATTCTCGAAAATCAACTTCAGGGTGCGTCTTTATTATGACCGGTGGGGCTATCTCATGGAGAAGTGTTAAACAGTTCTTAATAGCTACTTCTACCATGGAAGCCGGGTTTGTTTCCTGTTTCGAGGCTACTTCACAGGGTGTTTGGCTAAAGAATTTTATCTCTAGCTTAGAATTATGGATTTTATATCTAAGCCATTGAAAGTCTATTGTGACAACTCAGCTGCAGTCTTCCTAGCTAAGAACCACAAAAGTGTGATTCGAATTAAACACATCGACATCAAGTTCTTATCAATTAGGGAGCGTGTCAAAAATAAAGTTGTGTTCATTGAATACATTAGTACTGAGTTGATGTTAGCAGATCCCTAGACTAAAGGCATGCCTCCATTTAAATTTAAGGATCTGGTTCAGAAAATGGGACTTTCGCCCAATTTGTAATTTGTATATATACATTCAGTTTCAATAAAATTCTTTGACATTCAGACATTTTCTCAATTAAGTGTATACACCTTCATTTGCTTTATATTGCTAAGAAAATGTACTTCAGTTGGACTTGGAATAAACATAGGATCTGTTTCATTAGGTTTTGTTTCCTAATTAAGTGCTCAATGGCAGTTTGCATTTGATCATAATGGATACTACTCGCGCTAATGAGAACATATAATTATAGTTAGTGTTTTTCTATTATTGAGTAGTAGTGCTTGCACCAAGTGGGAGAATGTAACATTTTCCTGATTACTATTATTATAACATTAGGATAAGTTATGATAATATTAAGCATTTGATATGTGGTGCAACACTAATAACCTAATGGCTAGACTACCATTATGATTAGGAGTCTAGTTAGGGTTTAGGATACCTAAAGGCATACAACCACAATGATGACCAGTGGTTATATAAGGTCACTAGTCCTCTCACTGCTCACACTACATACCTCATACACCATTTAGAGAGAGCTAAGTAAAGTGAGAGACAAAATACTCGTGTTATCTCTGCAGCAGCCCGAATCGTTCAACCATCATTATCACAAGAACTAACAAAAACGATCCTGTGTCACATATTATGATGCATGTGATATATTTTAGTCTAACAAAAAGTACATAATATGTTAACTATATGTATATAGTATGAACCATGACTACAATGCTCACGGTGGATTATAGTATGGTTCATGATATAACAATTGACATCTCATTCATCGGACCACTGTCTTGTGACATTTTTTTAATATCATTGTGGGAATGTGAATAAAAATAAATTTCCAAACCAAAACATAAAATTAAAAACCCAATTTTATACTATGTATCTACTATGGGAATGTGAATAAAATGACACACATTTTTTTTTTTTTTTCCAATTTAACTAAACTATACTCAACACGAATATGATTAATATCATTGTGTAATCTTAATTGACGGATCAAAGAAAATTTTGACTGGACAAAATTTAATTATTATAAAAAATGATTCTTTAAAATGTATTGATTAAGATACTGTTGTACATTTAACTGTCAGTAAAAATGCATTTACTGTTTTAGATGAATGGCATCTCACAAAACTACAAATCCAATTTGATGAAAAAGAAAAGAAAAATAGAAATAGTTTGAAGGTATAGAGGCAAGGGCAAAACCCTAAATGTCAGAGTGCAGAGAATTAATAGGGCGCAGAGGCAGACACCATTGCAGAAGATTTTGTTACTACTCTGATTTGACCAAAGCATTTTAAATGGGTCTCATACGTCATTTCAAACATTCTACAGGGACTACCTAGTAAATGCAATGCGCCGAAACTCATTTTTTTTTTTTACATTAATAATTAATGAAAAAAATTGTATTTTTAATTTTTCGATGGACAGCTTGATACTAAAAAAAGAAAAAGATCTTCTGCAAAATATTATGTGTACTGTTACATACAAAATTTTAATTTTTGATATAAACACTTATATTAGAATTCACATAAAAATTAACTTATCTGAGAATAAAATTTTTGATTATTTAGTTATATACATGACCATATTTAATTCCTAAAAGGATCAAATTAATTACTTTATTAAAAGATATATTAGTGATAAAAATAGTCTTTGAAGAATTAAAATCTATCACACATATGACTCATGAACTAAATCTATATTCCACAAGTATGATAGAAGGATAAAAATGTAATTTTATCTTTAATTATATATATATATAAAATTAATTAATTAATTATCAGAAAAATAAAAAATAAAAAGACAAAAAACCATGAAGTGTGCACCAGCCACCCGCACAGCACAGAAGCAGCATATAAACACTGGCGCTTCGATTTCTGAGCTAAGCTTTAAACCTCTCTTTCTTTTCTCTCTCTCTCTCTCTCTACGCACTAACCCCATACAAGACGACGCATCACTCTCTCTCTCCTCTCCGAACTTGGTATATACTCGTATTTTCTTGAATGTGCGTATGAGGGTTTCCGTTTCTTGCTGAAAAAAAACGGATCTTTTTTTCACCCACTTCTTTCTTCTGCTGGACTAGAGTGGAATGGGGAGGGAAAAGTTTCAATCTTGCTGTATTTTGTGTTTTCCTTTTCTGGGTCTGGGAGCTTCATTTTTAGTCTTGCTGTAAATCACTGAACGATAACTTTTTTGGGTTTTTTTTTCAAATTTTGTTTGTGGATTTTTTTTTTTTGTTTTTTGTTTTTTGTTTTTTTGTTTTTTTTTTTGTTTTTTTGGCAGTCCGGAGCCGGAGCTCAACTCATTTGCTTCATAGCGAGAGTGGTGGGTGGTTTTAGCGATAAAGCCAGGCGGTTTTGCTGTTTCTGGAGAAGCTTTTAAGTGGTTTTGTGGTAAATCATGGAGGGGCACGAGTGATGTGTTTTTTCCTGTTTGTCACGAGTTGTTTACAGCTGCTTCAACGAAGGTGATAAGCGGTGTGAAAGAGAAGAGATGATTTTGTCAGTATATAGAGAGAGAGGGATAGAGAATTTGGTTGCATAGCTTTAGTTGAGCAGTTTTGGCTGTATGTACCTTCATTTGTAAGGTAAGCGTGAAGTGTGTTCGTGATCCTTCTCAAAAACAAAAACAAAAAAAAAGGACCCAAGAATCTTCCGCTTCATTCAAGATCCTCCGTCCATTTCATTTCTCTGAGATCACAAGAAAGAGAGAAAAAAAAAAGTTGTTGAGCCTTGAGAGAATCTCACTCTTCTTTGTGTGAACATATAAAAGCTGGTCGCCCAGTTGCAGAGAATATCTGTCTGGGAACAATAATGGCTTTGGTTGCACAGCATCATAGAGAGAGTAGCAGTGGGAGCATTGACAGGGGCCACCTTGACGCCGGAAAGTATGTCCGCTACACGGCGGAGCAGGTGGAGGCTCTGGAGAGAGTCTACGCCGAGTGTCCCAAACCAAGCTCCCTTCGCCGGCAGCAGTTAATCCGGGAATGCCCCATTCTGGCCAACATTGAGCCTAAACAGATCAAAGTCTGGTTTCAGAACCGCAGGTGAGCTCAAGAATATCTAGCATTGCTTGTTTTCCATCTTCTTTTGCACTTGTTTTGAGTATGATGTTTTTATCTTTTGTTTGTTATCTTCTTTTTCTTTGCTACTGTTTAAGAATTAAAAAAAGGAACTGCCTTTGTTGTCTATTGTTGACTGTAACTTGGAAAAAATAGGGTTAAGGTTATGCACATTTTCTTTCACAAATCCCCATTTTTTGGGCATTTGGTCTGGTCTTTTGAATAGATTGCTACTGTTCTTGATAACTTCAAAAGGAAAAAAAACAAATTTTACTGCATTTTTGTTGTGTTGTTGCAGGTGCAGGGAGAAGCAACGGAAGGAGTCTTCTCGGCTTCAGGGTGTGAACCGAAAGTTGAGTGCTTTGAACAAGCTGTTGATGGAGGAAAATGATCGGCTGCAGAAACAAGTGTCACAGCTAGTGTGTGAGAATGGGTTTATGCGCCAGCAATTGCAAACTGTATGTTCTTCAACTCATTTGATGCTGAAATGTGTGTTTGCTTCTATATACTTGTTGGTTTGGTGTCTTAGTTTTCAAGAATGTGGTAATGGCTTATAACTTTTATCAAAGGGTAATTCGTGATTTGCCTTCCCTCCTCTCCCTCCTGATGTAAATTGTAATGGTTGATTGCAGGCACCAGCAACTACTGATGGAAGTTGTGAATCAGCAGTGACCACCTCTCAGCATTCTCTAAGGGATGCTAACAATCCTGCGGGGTAATTAAAGTTTTCATCTTCACACCCCGAAATGCTTTTGCTTTTCTAACTCTAATTCTGCTTTCTTCAGACTCCTCTCGATTGCAGAAGAAACCTTGGCAGAGTTCCTTTCAAAGGCTACGGGAACAGCTGTTGATTGGGTCCAGATGCCTGGGATGAAGGTTGGATTTTGGTTTATACTGTATAATCAATAAACTAGTCTTCTTTTTCTTTACTAAACTCAATTGTATTGTGGTCAGCCTGGTCCGGATTCGGTTGGGATCTTTGCCATCTCACATAGTTGCAGTGGAGTGGCAGCGCGAGCATGTGGTCTTGTTAGTTTAGAGCCTATCAAGGTAAGCCTTGAAATTGATAACCTAATATTGTGGAAACTCGTATTTTGCTAATTGGGTTTTTCTCTAATAATAATGTTGTTACAGATTGCCGAGATCCTCAAGGATCGTCCATCTTGGTTCCGGGACTGCCGGAGCCTCGAAGTTTTCACAATGTTTCCTGCTGGAAACGGAGGGACGATTGAACTTCTGTATACACAGGTGAATGGCCTGGCCTGGCCTGGCCTGGCCTAGTCACCCTATTTTGAAATTCAGACGGTTTGGAGAATTAACGTCTTATTATTTTTTCCAGATTTATGCTCCAACCACACTGGCTCCAGCTCGTGACTTCTGGACTCTAAGATACACAACCACCCTCGAGAATGGTAGTCTTGTGGTATGTTATATCATCATTCACCTCGAATATGACTGCCTGTTCTAGTTTAGCTCAGTAATTTCTACCCTAAATTTGGGGTAATGTTACTATCATGTGATTCATATGAACAATTTCATGTGTTTGATTCGATCATTCTGATTATTTTTTCCAGATTTGCGAAAGATCGCTCTCGGGTACAGGGGCTGGACCTAATGCAACAGCAGCTTCTCAGTTTGTGAGAGCTGAAACGCTTCCATCTGGATACCTCATCCGCCCGTGTGAGGGCGGAGGTTCAATTATACATATTGTCGACCACCTTAACCTCGAGGTCAGTTGTCTGTTGAGGCATCATATTCATTATTATATTATATTGGCAATAAACGGGGACTGTTCTTACTTCTTAATCAGGCATGGAGTGTGCCCGAGGTCTTGCGCCCGCTTTATGAATCATCCAAGGTTGTTGCACAGAAAATGACGATTGCAGTAAGTAGACTGGTCTCGATCTCCGTCTCCATGTGTGTGTGTGTTTATTTACCTTATAATATAAAACACAAATTAACTTAGAACTTGAATTTTCTGTCTTAAGGCACTGCGATATATCAGGCAAATCGCTCAAGAAACTAGCGGCGAGGTAGTCTACGGTCTGGGCAGGCAGCCCGCTGTTCTGAGAACGTTTAGCCAGAGATTAAGCAGGTCGAGTGTAAATGCTTGTTTTGTTTTTTTATAATGTCTTATAAGATGATTCTGGAAAGATTGTTATGTTACGGTTATCTACTTTTGCAGAGGCTTCAATGATGCAATCAATGGATTCAATGATGATGGATGGTCGGTTTTGAGCGGTGATGGTGCTGAAGATGTTACCGTTGCCATCAATTCCACCAAGAACCTCGCAACTTCTAATACACTTCAAATGCTCGGAGGTATTCTCTGTGCAAAGGCGTCTATGCTACTCCAGGTAAATAATTCAACAATGGATGAATTATTATTTCGGGCCAACATATTTTGTAATGCCAAGTTCTCGATATTTTGACCAGAATGTCCCTCCTGCTGTACTGGTTCGCTTCTTGAGGGAGCATCGGTCGGAGTGGGCAGACTTCAACGTTGATGCCTATTTTGCTGCTGCTTTGAAATCGAGCTCGTATTCGTATCCGGGAATGAGACCTACAAGGTTTACGGGTAGCCAGATAATCATGCCGCTTGGTCAAACAATTGAACATGAAGAGGTAATGTCTTTTTGTCCTACTTAGGACACATCAATTACTACCCGGGAAATCCGAAATGATATCTCCTATGCTCTATAAGTTATCCACGTATGCTTCAGCATTCTATGTGCCCATGTCTCGTTTCTTGTTGCCTATTCTCGTGTCTATAAAAGTTGTTTGACTTGATCCTAGATGCTTGAAGTCATTAGACTTGAAGGACATCCTCTCGACAACGAAGACGCTTTTTTGTCGAGGGACATTCATCTTTTGCAGGTGCTCTTTTCTCGCTGTTGATTAGATATACACTTTTAAAAAAACTATCAATATCTTTGTCAAAATACGAGTAGCTAACCGTTAATATTCCTTTCCAGATGTGCAGTGGAATTGACGAGAATGCAGTAGGGGCATGCTCTGAACTCGTTTTTGCTCCAATTGATGAAATGTTCCCCGATGATGCACTTCTCATACCCTCGGGCTTTCGCATCATTCCGCTGGAATCTAAATCAGTTAAAGTCAATAAACTATGACATCCCCACGCAATTGTTGAAAGAATTGTTTTCCTTGTTTTTGTGTTTCTGGGACACGCCATACTTATATATTTTTGTTACTCAGAATGATGTACAGGATGCATTGCCAGCTCAAAGAACGCTAGATTTGACATCAAGTCTTGAAGTCGGCCTGGCAACGACGAATCATGCTGTCGGGAGTGCCTCCGCATCCTACACTGCTCGCTCTGTCTTAACGATTGCCTTCCAATTCCCGTTTGAGAACAACCTGCAGGATAATGTTGCGACAATGGCCCGACAATATGTCCGCAGTGTGATTTCATCTGTTCAAAGGGTTGCAATGGCGATATCTCCATCGGGATCGGGTCCTAGTCTCGGCCCAAAGTTGTCCGCCATCTCCCCAGAAGCTCTTCCGCTGGCTCAGTGGATCTGCCAGAGCTATAGGTCTCCCACTATTATCCTTCTTGGAAGTCGTAGTATAGTATTTTTGGGCTTATAAAAACTATTTTGAGGGAGGGAACTAAAAGCCAATTAGGGTGTTTTTAAAATGCATTATCGCTTGCTAATTTGTTCTTGATTCACAGTTACCACATGGGAGCGGAGTTGCTTGGTGGCGATTCTATGGGTGGTGAATCCGTGTTGAAGAATCTCTGGAACCATCATGATGCCATTTTGTGCTGCTCGGTAAAGGTATGTGCATTTTGGTTCGTTTGTGTGTTCTCTCCAGAAACGAACTATTCTAGGTCTAATTGGTTTCAATATTTGCATCCCGGACTCAATGAACATCTCAAACTGTGTCATCTCGAGGGTTGTAGGATTTGCCCCTCCTTTTCTCGACAATTTCGTTTGTCTTACGTTGAATAATTCTTTGCAGTCGCTGCCGGTTTTCATATTTGCCAACAAGGCTGGGCTTGACATGTTGGAGACAACATTAGTGGGCTTACAAGACATTGCTTTAGATAAAATATTTGACGATTCTGGACGCAAGGCGTTGTATTCTGAACTTGCGAAAATCATGCAGCAGGTACTTTCGAAAGCTTTAGTGTTGTTGGTGTGAATAACTCTGCTATGAAAAACCAATTCAATAAAATGGCGCTAACCTACACCGGTTATGTACATTTGGTCATTGTGCAGGGCTATGCATACATGCCGGGTGGGATCTGCATGTCAGCAATGGGGCGACATGTTTCGTACGAGCAGGCGATCGCGTGGAAAGTCCTCTTGGACGATGAAAACACCGTTCACTGTTTGGCGTTCTCGTTTATAAACTGGTCGTTTGTGTAAGTCTGTCCCGATGCCCGGGAGGAGGGAGGGGAAACCAGGTTTTGCTTAGAGGAAGTTTTGTAATGGTCTAAAACAGCAGCCAAATATTTTCATGTGGTTAGATTTGGTGTATGCTTCTGATATTTGTAAATGCTGCCAGTGTAGCTTTTTTACATTTTATTTTTAGAGTTTGGTTCTTTGATGAGGCCAGGCCAAAACATTTTCTGCTGCTTTATTATTGTGATTAGAATCAATCAGCTTTGTTCAAAGCCATCTCTTGCTGAGTTCTTCATTCATTATCAAATTGGCTCAACCTCTCATATATAATGCTCCTGTTTGATAAAATAGTTAGCTAGCTCAGTTAATTTTTGTTTATTTGACTATTATTAACTGTTTGACTTGATTAAAAATCAATAGATAAAGTTTAAATAAGTTACTGAATTTTTTAGAAATAATAATTTGGCTACTGAACTTAAATAATTCCCAAATAAGTTATTGTACTTTGGAAAAAAAGAGCAAATAAGAATATTGACAGGTATTTCGGAAGGTAGGTGAGTTGTTAGATTTTTAGCCATCGAACTCAAATAACTCCCAAATAAGTCATTGAATTTGGGAAAAAAGAGCAACTAAGAAGATTGAAAGGTAATTCAAAGGGTGGGTGAGTTAGATTTTTCAGCCGTTAGTGACTTATTTTGCGCTAATCATATCTTTTTGTTTTGCACAAAATGTTTACTTTTAAGAAAAAATCTTCATTGGAGTGTGGTACTGTGGTCCTTGGACACTCTTTGCCTTGATATTAAGGGGGGTGTATTCAATCATGACTTTTGTAGAGTTTTAAAACTTTTAAAATGATAGATTTTAATAAACTTTGATTGACTTTCAAAGAGTCGTTCAAAACTTTTTAAAATTTTATAAGACTCTATAAAAATCTATAAAAAACATTCATAGACTTTTATCAACTTTTTATTTTAAAAAGTCTACAAAAGTCATTGAAATTCTAAATTGAATACATCCTTACAAACTTTCAATGATTTTGATTCTTATCATTTATATTATTTTCTTACAAAATATTTATAATATATCATAAAATTTTCTTATTACAAAATATTAATAAACTTTGATTGACTTTCAAAGAGTCGTTCAAAACTTTTTAAAATTTTATAAGACTCTATAAAAATCTATAAAAAACATTCATAGACTTTTATCAACTTTTTATTTTAAAAAGTCTACAAAAGTCATTGAAATTCTAAATTGAATACATCCTTACAAACTTTCAATGATTTTGATTCTTATCATTTATATTATTTTCTTACAAAATATTTATAATATATCATAAAATTTTCTTATTATATAGTTCTTCACCCACATCAACATTATTATTTATCTCCATAGTATGTAGGTTGAAACTTATATGCTAATTACTTTATATATATATATATATATATATATATATATTAAACATAAAAAAAAATTATTTCACTAGAAATTCATAACAATATTGAATAATAAAATTTATAATAAAAGAATTGATCAAATAAAATATTTAAAAATATAATTACAAGTTGCATTAAATAAAAATATAAAAATTTAATATTTATAATATATATAAAAAAAAGGGTGAATCAACGATTTGGTCCCTCACTTATTCGCGACTTGTCAATGTTGTTCCTGAATCACGTATTCATCAATTTAGTCCCCGAAAATAATTATTTTTCGTCAAATCAGTCCCTATGGCCGTATTCCGTCAAGTCTCAGGCGAGAGCTCCTATTTGCCCTGTGCATTTTGGTATTTTCACACTTTCTTCTTCATTAACTCCGACGTTAGCTTCACCTCCGATTTCCGAGATACGCCGCTCTTCCTCCACTTCTCCGGTTCGGTTCTCGGTTGCGCCGTCGCCGACGAGCCTATTTGATCAGCGCCGTCGGAGGAGTCTACTCCGTCTCCGTCCCCTGCTCCAGCTCCCAATGCTGATGATGCAAACGATGTTAGCCACGCAAGCGAGTTACAGGCTGGTGAATCTTCCGGCGGTGGAATGAGCGGGGGTAAGAAAGCAGGCATCGTTGTCGGAGTCATCGCCGGCGTGTGCGTCGTAGGGCTCGGCGCGCTGGTTTACAAGAAGCGGCAGCAGAATATTCGCCGATCGCAGTACGGATACGCCGTCCGGAGAGAGATCCTGTAATAACTGCAAGGTTCGTACCATTTTGTGCAATCACTGAAATACATATACATGTATACATACAGATCTTTGGACTTTGTTTTGGACTGATTTATTGCTGTCAATTCACTGTATGCAGAAGTTATGATTTGTACCATTCTTTATTCGTCACTATAATTACTTAGTATTGAATTTAATTTTTCATCCCCAAAAACTCATTCGTCATTACTCCGCAGTTTAGCCATAGAACCAATAATTAGCTACTTGTTTTGTTCTGATCAATAATTAGCTGATCAAATAGGCTCATCGGCGACGGCGCAACCGAGAACCGAACCGGAGAAGTGGAGGAAGAGCGGCGTATCTTCTTGGAAATCGGAGGTGAAGCTGACGTCGACGACGATGGAATGTCGTCGAAGAAAGATGAATCACTACTGCGGATGAGCTAATTTCGAAAAGCAGAGAAGAGATGGAACTCCCTCCGGTGAGCTTGAACTTCTCCGGCGAAGCTTGGTCGGAGTTAATGAAGAAGAAGGTGTGAAAATACCAAAATGCCCAGTGCAAATCGGAGCTCTCGCCTGAGACTTGACGGAATACGGCCATAGGGACTGATTTGACGAAAAACAATTATTTTCGGGGACTAAATCGATGAATACGTGATTCAGGGGCAACATTGACAAGTCGCAAATAAGTGAGGGACCAAATCGTTGATTCACCCTATAAAAAATTATACTTGATATATTGTTAGACATCACGCAAAGAACTATTATTTGCAATAAGAGACTTTGAACAACAAGAAGGTGCTAGTGTTTGCAACCCCAAATTGTTGTTGCGAACAATAGTTCGCTATTCGTAGTAACTTGTTAAAAATAGGAAAAATATATATTACGAATATAAACATAAAAAGAATAAAAATCAAAATATATAAGTATTTATATGAATATTATGAAACATATACTAAAATTTGATGATGAAAAATTTGCTTTGTTCATGTATTTAGGGAGAATTAGAGAAAGTTAGGGATAAAAAATTCATTGAAAAAATAAAAATCAATATAAACAAGTAATAATGAAGTAAAAATAATATTATTTCGAATTTTTAGAGGAAGATGGTAAAGTTTAGGAGAGAAAAAAAATTGGTAGAGTTTTAGGTATGAGGAAAATATGGAATAATGAAGAAAAAAAATTAATTTTATTAAATTTAGATAGGTTTATAAAGACATTCAAAAAAAAGATAGGTTTATAAAGTTTAAATAGGGAGAAAATTAGAGTTTAAGTAGAGAGGGAAAACATTCAAAGTCGTTAGAAAGAAAATTTTGAAATCTTGGGGTTGATGGTTTTTATTTTATTTTATTTGTTTTTTAAATTTTTTTTTGAGATTACATGAGATGCCTCCGCAGAGGCTCGTTACGATTGATGGCTCCTGGTGTCGCTTAGTTCGTCCCGGTGCTGTGGGTTCACCTCGTTTCGCCCAAGGTCCGGGGCAGGGCATGTGCCCCTGGTTGTTACGCCTGGTGCCGCCTATGTGTCACCTAGATCACGACTCGCCAGGTTCCGGCACGTCTCGCAGCGCTTCTCGGGACAACATGGGTCCCTTTTACTGTGATTTTTTTGGAAGACAAAGAAGTGTGATAAAGATGAGACCTCATAAAACATCAAACAAATATTCATCAAATTCACTACTTTTTTGGGGGTATTTGTTCTTTCTTCGATGGGACCTTATTAAAATGAAAAAAAAAAAAGAAAGCAAAAAGGATCCCCCTTTGACAATGAAATTCTGCCCCAGCCCCCTTCATAAATTAGAAAACGGTAGAGCTGAGTTGATGTATTTATTGGATCCGTCGGGACTGACGGGGCTCGAACCCGCAGCTTCCGCCTTGACAGGGCGGTGCTCTGACCAATTGAACTACAATCCCAGGGAAATAAGGGATCTAGCAGAAATTTTGATTCTTTTTATCTACGTATCAGGTCTTTCTGAAGGACAAGGGGGTTCTATCATCTTATGGTGGATTGGCGAATTATTGGGCCGAGCTGGATTTGAACCAGCGTAGGCATATTGCCAACGAATTTACAGTCCGTCCCCATTAACCACTCGGGCATCGACCCAGGAAGAATCAAATTGAAATTGGTAATCCATGAGAAACTTCCTTTCATAGTACCCTACCCCCAGGGAAATTCGAATCCCCGCTGCCTCCTTGAAAGACAAATTGATGGTTGAATTTCAACTATTTATATTTGAGAAGGAAAAGTCTACAAAAGTCTTAAAATTAAAAAGTCTACAAAAGTTCATAACTTTTTGAATACCACATGACTTTTAAAGACTCTATAAAAGTCTTAATCGAATACCACACGACTTTTAAAGACTCTTTAAAAATCTTGATTGAATACCGCATGACTTTTAAAGACTCTGTAAAATTTTGAATTGAATACCCCCAAACTTTTAAAGTTCATAAAACTCTTTAAAACTCTATGAAAGTCATGATTGAATACACCCCCCTAAGGTTTCGAACTTTAGACTCAAAGAATGTATTGAGTAGTCCTTTACGAATGGTTAACTCTTCGAACCTTTAAACCTTTACAACCATTCGGATACAAATGATTGTCCTTACCATTCGGTCCGCTTTACACTTCGAAAGGTAAGTCCTTCCATCATTCAACCTTTGCAACCTTTCGGTTACGAATGGTTGACCTTACCATTCGTTCTTACTCTTCGAATCTTCAATCTTCAGGTCTTCATCTCGAGCTATTCGAAAGGTAACCATTTGAGTTACTAATCGAACTGTTGAGACTAATCGAAACGTAACCTTTCGAGTTATCATTCGGATTGATTTGTTTAACCAAACTGTGACTTCTCGAGGTACTATCCAGACTATTCGAACTTTGAGCAAAAATAATCCTAAGTCTATAATGTAAAAGAAATAGGGGACTAAAATTCATATCTTTTGGTAACATCAAATCTAAATAAAAGATGTTCCTAACACAAAGTAAAAATTATATATACGTTTCACTCACACAAAAAGGCAACATCACCTCTACTAAAGCTTGATCTCATGACCTCCCATATGGGAGAATCACTACATGTCATCTAAACATAAGGTGCTTAACAAATAAATTTTAAAAA